GGGAGGTCTACAATGGGCTACTGGATCTACTTCAATTTGGAATGAAAAAAATCAACAATCACATCATCAACAGCAGCGGTAGTGGCGGTGGTGGTATAGTTAGTAGTGTTGGTGGCAGTATATCTATTGTCACTAACTGGACTACGATCTCTATTTGCAGAAATACTTTGATTTTCAAATCTTTAATTTTATGAATTTAATAAAATAAAGGAAAATGAATATATATTTTTTTTAAAACTCATAGCTTCCTTAATATAATTATCGCCCAAAAAATTGTTTTATTTGTCACTTACTCTTTGAGATCTCTTCGACTATACATCTTTTTAAATTTACTTATTTATTAAAATTATTTTTGAAAATTTATAAATTGTACAAAAAAGCTTGAATAAATAAAAGGGTAATTAATAATTATTATAGTATATATTTATTTCGTACACCCGATTTTTTATTATCTACAAAATTTATCTCTCTATAAGCCGATTTTTTTTTGACTCGGTTTAACGAATTCTGAAGATTTTTTCAATTATCACAATTATTACATCACAAAAAAAAATTTTTTTGATATATTTTTTTTTCATCGATAATTTTCTTTCTTTGGAGAAGAGAAACAAGTAACAAATTTCTCTATATTTATTGTCATTTATTCATTAAATGAATAAATAATATCAATGAATAAATACTAGCAAAAGGGCTATAATTGTATATTATTAATTTTAAAAAATTTATTGATTAAATAAATATTTTATTTATTAGAGAGGAAAAATAAAAAATGAAGCATAATAATCAACTTCCAAATGTTCATTTTCACAAGGATTGGCAGTTAAGAGTTAAAACTTGGTTTGATCAACCTGGACGTAAGAAAAGAAGAAGATTAAATCGTATTCGTAAAGCTACTAATATTGCACCAAGACCAATTCAACTTTTAAGACCAGCTGTTAGATGTCCTACAGTTAGATATAATACAAAATTGAGAGCTGGTCGTGGATTCACTCTTGATGAACTTAAAGTTAGTCAATTGATAGATTGATGGATTGATTCTTTCTTGCATTATATTGTAATATATTTATTATATATAAAAATAGGAAGCAGGGATCCGTCGTAAGGAAGCTCTTACTCTTGGAGTTCCTGTAGATCACAGACGTAAAAATCGATCAGTTGAATCCCTTGCACTCAATGTTCAACGTTTGAAGACATATAAAAGTAAACTTATCATCCTCCCAAAGAAAACTACATCAAAGAAAAAGACTGCTGATGATATGGTAATAATAATTAACAATTATCATTATTATTTCCAGCAAGTACAGATTAATAAAATTTTTTTCTGTTATTAATAAAACCAAAGCACGTCCTATTACAGAAGAAGAGAAAAAATCCAGTGCATATGCTACTTTACGTAAATTGAGATCCGATGCACGTCTTGTTGGTATACGTGAAGCTCGTCGTAAAGCTAAAGAAGAAGAAGAAGCTAACAAAAAGAAATAAGTAAACTGGTAGTTAAAGATGGCATTGTAATAAATATTTTGGTATTTTGAATGAATTTGTTAATAAATATTTGATACTTTGAATGAATTTGAT